CCCCGTTACGGCAAAGCCATCACCCAGTCCCACTGTACGGAGCGGAAGGACCGAGCTGGCCAGGACCGTGTCCTTGACCGTCACCGGACAGAGGGAAAGGTCAAGACCAGGGTTTCACACCTGGGTCAGGCACAGGCGGCCGAGGCGAGTGATCGGCTGGCCTCAGGAATGCTGTCCTTGCCCCAGAGTTTCGCCTGGGGCCTGCACAGTGCTCCTGGGCTCGGCTCAAGTTTGCATTTGGTGTCCACTAAAGGTCGATGGAAGAAAAACTCCTCTTGACAACAGTTGGGTCTTCAGGGCTGCCCAGGATGACTGGACAGGTGGACATGACCCAAGAGAGGCCAGAAGTTGTAACTGGCCAATTTCGACCAGTAGCCACGCCTCGTCCTGTGTTTTTCACAGAAAAGATCAACCCTAGTGAGAATCCTTTCAGCAAGGGAATTGTGTGGCCACGTGGCTGAGGACTGAGGGGACCCAGGAGGGGCTCCAGGGAGCCCGCCGTGTGGCAGGAGCTGGCTCCTTGGGCCGTCTGCATTCGGATCATCCATGTGGGACTAGAATGCTGGGGGCAGGGTGGCGGTCGCCTGAAGGGCGGGGCAGCCCTCCTTCCCTGAACGCCATTCAGGGGAGACCATGGCGCTGAGGGTCCAGTGGAGACCACGTCCTTCGAGGCCCCGCAGTGGCCAGGGAGCTTCCCCACCCCCACACCCCTGCTCCACCAAGCAGGTCCCACAGCCAGTGGTAGGGAGCACTGCGGTGCCCAGCTTGGGACAGCCCCGTGGCGGAGGGGGCCGGGGCTGCTTGGGGCTTGTCCCCAACCTCCTCCTGCCAGCTCAGCTGTGGGGACTCAGGGACACTTGAGGAATGGGGGGGGGCTATCTGAGACCAGCCCCCTGGAATACAGGTATAGCACTCTTGGGGGGATCGGGTCTTCTGTCCCTGTCTCTCTGCTGAGGGCACTGGGGGAGGGGATGGCCCAGCCCCAAATTGCCCAAATACCTTCAGGAATGGCTTTGGGGCCTGTTGCTGGTGACCAACCCTCTGGGCCCAGCCCGTGAGGCAGAATTGCTGTCCTGGGAGAGAATGGAGGACACGATGTCCGCGGTGTCTCCCCGGCAGCGTCACCTGGCTCATGTGGCCCTGAGTTCAGGGCAGGTGGAGCCACACTATTACAGGCTGAACTCTGTCCCCCCAAATTTGCATGTGGAAGTCCTGACCCCCATGACCTCGGAATGTGACTGTTTTGGAAGTGGGCTCTTTACGGAGGCGATTAACGTGCAAGGAGGCCCACACGATGGGTGTCCTTGCGAGAAGCGGAGGTTAGGACAGACACGCACAGAGGGACGGCGTGTGAGGACAGGAAACATGGCCTCTACGCGCCCAGGAGAGCGGCCTCGGGGGAACCAGCATGCCGGCGCCTGGACCCGGGGCCTCAGCCTCCAGGAGCGGGAGAGTCTGGTTATGCTTTTAAGCCGCCAGCAGCCCCAGGAGGCGAGGGGGCCCCCAGTAGACCCGTCCTGTGAGCCCGGGTCTACAGGGAGGTGCCCCCTCTGTTTAAAACACTTGTACGGGCGGGTGTGGGGGACAGAGGGCAGGGGGAGGGGACCAAACGCAGGCGGCGCCCTCGCTGGGTGTGGCAGGGACACTTCCAAGTGTCTTCAAGCCCCTCACCAGGAAGGTGAGGCGGGGAGAGAACCCCCTGGCACGCAGGGCGTTAGGAGCCGAGCAAAGTCCCCCCTTGTGTCCTCAAGCCCCTCGCCAGGAAGGTGAGGCGGGGAGAGGACCCCCTGGCACGCAGGGCGTTAGGAGCAGAGCAGACGTCACCCCCCACCCCGCACTGCCAGGTGAGGCTGTGGACGAGCAGCTGCCCGCTCAAGACAGGGCAGACACGCGAGGCCCAGTGGGGATGGAGGGCTTGGGGACAGCGCGGGCCCCATGGGGCCTTCTGTCCTGCCTCCAGCCTCAGGCAGCCGCACCAGCCCCTACGCGCAGGGCCCAGCTGGCATCGGGGTGCCAGGCCAGGGCCCCCCTGTGCTGGTCTGGGTCCCTACTTCACCCCGTGCATGGCCTCAGCCAGAAAGCGCGGCCCTGGACGGCCAGGACACGGCCAGCCCCACGCGGCAGCCCCGCTGCCTGCACCGGCCTCCCACCAGCTTCTCCGAAAGTTGGGAGGTCTTGTGAATTCCAAAGGCCGAAGGGCCCAGCTTGCCTTTCATTAAAATGTACGTCCTTTAATTAAAGAACCGTAACACATGAAGGGCATCGGCTGAGCTACGGCAAGCAGCAGTCATTTCCCCGCTGTTAATTACTAATTAATGAAGCTATTTCAATTAATAGCTTCCCACCTCACTCCCCCTCGGACAGGCCTGTGCTGGGCTGCAGCCTGCAATGGCGCCAGCAGCCACCACACTGAATATTCATGCTGCCACTTCAGCGCTTTTCAATTAAACAGAATAAAGCGAATCCTGGTCGAGAGTGTACCCAGTGTCAGCCCACCTCTCCCGCCACGGGAGATGCCTGGGTGCCGGGCTCCACTGCAGACAGTCGGGGGGCCGTGGCCCATGGGCCTAGGAGGCGCCCTCACCCCAGGGGGCCCTGTGTCCTACCAGCTATGAGAGATGACCTGCCCAGATGACCTGCCCAGGGGACAGACGAGCCGGAGTTCCCAGGGGAGAAGTGGGGAGCCCCAGGGCGCCGCAGCCCTACAGCTGAAGGACAAAGCCAGAGCGGGCGGGGAGGCAGCCCGCGAGCAGGAGGGGCTGTCGGCATGCTAATTAGGAACAGCAAGTGGTCATTACGGATCACGCAGGACAGAAAGGTGTCACTCATGGTGACCAGGAGGGAATAAGCCTAGTCTGTGAGTGGGAGATGGGGGGGCCCCTGGGGAGGAAGGCTTGGGGCTGTCGGGGTCTGGGGACAGAACCTCGGGGAGCCTGGACCAGGCAGTTAAGGGACGGCTCCTGCGCCCCGCGCCGTGGCCAGCTGTGACGGGGTCTCCAATCACGAGGTCCTGGCTGCAGAACCCCACACGCGCAGGCCAGGCAGCTGTGGGGAGAGACCACGGTGGTGACCAAGAGTGGGAAGGGGCGGGCAGCAGAGGGTCCCTGCCCTTCTCGCGTGGAGAGTCGCCCAATCAGGCCCGTCCTCACGTCTCACTCCTTGGGGACAATGTCCAGCCTCGCTTACTCTCCCCCACCACGACCTGCCCGTGACTCCCCACCATCACCCGTGGGGTTCCCTGAGCCTGGAACACCCTCCCTACCTGCTCCGTCCCAGTGGAGCTGAGGGGCCCAGCACCCACTGGTGCGGGCAGCCCCCACGCGGTATCCCGGGAGGACTCTGGGGACAGCTGCTGGGAGGAGTGGACACTGCCCTGTCGGACGGCGCCCTCTGTCGGCCAGCTGCGGCGTCCTCTGGCTGTGCCTCTTGGCTGTGAGCCACACAGGCACACGCACACAGGTGGCTTACACAAAGGCACACATGCCTCCTGCACGTGCACGCACACAGGGCCCCAGGCGGCCAGAGCCCCCACTTCCAGGAGTGAAGGGACAGGCACGGCTCGGGTTTGGTGATGGGTGTACGAGGCAGGTGGGCCCCCAGCGCTCTGCCCTCTGCTTCATCCGATGTCACTGCCCACACTCGGGGGGTCCCTGTTGGCTGCTAGGATCCTGCCAGGGTTGCCCACGGGGTGGGGATGTGTCTGAGCCTGGCTGCACCAGGCAGCCCCCCGCCGCCTCAGAACACCCCCTCCTTGTCTCCAGCACCCCCAGACTCCACGGATCCCGGTCCCAGACCCAGCATCGGCCTTGGGAAGGGTGACAGTCCGGACCAGGAACAGTGCTGAGAGGGGGAAGGTCACCCAGGACAGGTCTGCTGTATGGGGCCCTGCACCCCCAAGCCCACGCACACGCCCCCCTCTCTGTTCGTCCGTGAGGAGGTGACGGAAGTGCGGGCAAGCCAGCATCCAGGGCGCCTGGCCACAGCTGCACGGGCCTCAGGTCCCCTTCTGCACAGAGCCCACCACCACCTCCTGGGCCCCCCGTCCCTCTAGGGGTGCCAGCTCCCCAGGGAACGGCCGCCCCCTCTCACACTCAGAGCGCGATGTCGACGGAACACCCAGGCCCACTGCAGGGGGGGCGACCTGAGCAGAATGTGGTCCCTCCGGACGGTGGGATGCTAGTCAGCCTTAAAAAGAAGTCCTGACATCCTGCTGTGCCACAGGTGCACCTCGAGGACACTGTGCTCAGTGCATTAAGCCGGTTACGGAAGGACCAATACTGTGTAGCTCTGCGAGGTCCCCAGAGGAGCTGGATTCACAGACAGGAAGTGGCTGGTGGTGCCAGGGGCTGGGGGAAGGGAATGTGAGTGTTTAATGGGGACAGGGTTTCGGCTGAGACGACCGGACGCTCTGGGGGTAGTGGCAAGGTGGCGGCGAGTGCACTAAGATCAGCGAGCTGCACATCCACACGGCCCTCACGTCCTGTGTCCTGGGAGCGTCCTGGACAGCACTTCATGGCGGTCAGCCCCGCTGAGGTCCCTCGTGAAAACCCGGCCGAGCCCAAGAGAGGCCTGTGCGGGAAACGAACGCTTTTACGGCGTCTCTGAGGCCGGACTCACTTCATGATAAAGAAGC